TTTAATTTAGCATACCTTATGCTATGCATACGTGCATCCATACATTTGTCTTGCATGCACCGGGCTCGGCGCATCATACTAACTGCATTGTATTTCAATTTCAAGTTGAATACGTGTTAGTTGTAGCATTATCATATGCCATCTATAGATTAGCTGAGCCTATTGTAGCTACATCTTGCATGTGTTGCATTAGCCATCTTACATGAACTAAGATCATGCATATGATTACTAACTAGTTTCTGTTTTGGCTTGGAGTACTCGGTGAGCATTTATGTTTTAGCATCCTTGCATGCGTGTGAGTGTTGCCATGACAGCATGCTTACCATGAGGTTACTTGCTTATGTGATATAACTGCTTGAATGTCTGTGGATGGAGGTTGAATTACCTAAATTGGAATAATACATTAAAACTGTGAGTTTTAAGCCCATTAGATAGTGGCAAAACCATCTTTTCTAAAGCCCACTTGAGGGTGGCAAAACCTGCATTTTAGCCTACTTGCGAGTAGCAAACCATTTTCAAAACAAACATGCAATGTTTCGTTCCAATTCAGGCGATTTGGTCTATACTTGTTTGCTGTGCTCATAACGTAGTAATTCTAGGCTAATAACCGAAATAAGAACACATAGCGTTTTCAAAAACGGATATCATGGTTAGTAGAGGCCGATCTTCGGATCGGGCGAGAGGGGGTGCTCATAGTTGACCTTCCCCAATCGTACCCAAGCTCCCGAGCCGAGGCAACTTTGGTGATGACGGACACGTGGCCTTTGGCACCGAGTCAGGGTTTTCTAAATTCCCCCATAAAAAATATTTAGGTGGTGACTCTATATCTGGCAAAGCAGTCCATGTTTAGCACTTCTTTTCAAAAATCTGTTTCTCAAAACGATTTACCGGATTTGGACTCTTTGGTTCAGATTAAGAACCGTGACAATTTGAGAGTCCTGAACTGTAGTGAACCCAAAACGAACAGAACGGGACTCGTCCTCCCGGGGCGCTCGGGGACGTCTACAGCGCATCTTACTAACCGCATAGTATTTCAATTCCAATTTGAATATGTGCATCGAGTTGTTGCATTTCACATGCCATCCTTAGATTAGCCAAGCCTATTCTAGCGACATTTTGTATGTGATGCATTAGCCATTTTAACATGGACTTGGATCATACGTTGATTGCTAACATGTTCTTTATTTTGGCTCGGAGTACACTGTGAGTGTTTATGCTTTAGCATATTGCATGTGTGTGAGTGTTGCCATGATAGCATGCTTACCATGAGGCTATATGCTTATGTGATATAACTGCTTGAATGCTTGTGGGTGAAGGTTGGGTTGCTTGAGTTGGAGTAATTCGTCGAAACCCGTGTTTTAGCCTACTTGCGAGTAGCAAACTTCAATCCATTTTCAAAAACAAACGGATATGCGATGTTTTGTTCCAACTTAGGCAATCTAGTCTATACTTGTTTTGCTGTGCGCATCACATAGTAATTCTAGGGTAAATAACCGAAATAAGAGCACATGTGTTTTCAAAAACTCGATATCATGGTTAGTAGAGGCCGATCTTTGATCGGGCGAGCGGGGGTGCTCACGAAGTGACCTTCCCCGAAGTGACCTTCCCCAATCGTACCCAAGTTCCCGAGCCGAGGCAACTTTGGTAATGACAGATACGTGGCCTTAGGCAACGAGTCAGGGTTTCCTAAATCCCCCCAAAATAAAATATATAGGTGACGACTCTGTATCTGGCAAAGCAGTCCATATTTGGCACTTCTTTCTAAAAATCAGTTTTTCAAAACGATTTGCCGGATTTAGACTCTTTGATGATTCATCGGTCTTGCATTGCACGCTGCGAGATTAGATACAAGACCGTGACATTGAGTCCTGAACTGTAGTGAGCCCAAATGAACAAAACGGGATTCCCTCCTGGGACGTTCGGGGACGTCTACAGGGCTATTCCGTCAAGTTATCACCAATGCATGAAGGCAAAGTTGGGGAAGCGCACAGTGACCATAAATGCGTTTGAAAAGCCATTTGGAGTAGAAGAGGCACACTATTCGGATGTAGTTTTCTTTACTGAGTTGTTAATGGATGAAACTCCAAGGACTGGTAAAGTTGTAGGGGTAAAATTGCTGAAGTGGGAAGACATTCGGGATGCTGAGGCTGCTCCAAAAAGTAGTGGGTAAAAAAAGAGCAGCAAGTCTACAAGTCCTCCGCCCAAGATTGTTAAGGTGCACGAGGACGGCAAGACAGTTTACTACTTATGACGGTCTTGGGGGCCAGACTTCACACCTTGGGAGGATGGCCCTGAGACGAATAAATGTGATAGTGATAAGTCTCGAGAAGGGTTGGTGGAGATGCCTGAGCCCGACCCTAAATGCATGGAAGATAGACCCAAACTGCAACAGGAGGTACTTGCTGAGGTCAACCTCAGTGACTTATCAAGGCAGAGCAAGCCTGTGTTTATCAACGATACAATGGCTCCAGTAGCTAAGGCAGAATTGATAACACTACTGAAGCGGTACAGTAACGTCTTTGCTTAGACGTACGACGAGATGCCTGGTCTTGGCCCATCCCTTGTCACCCATCATCTGGATACTTTTCCTAACTCTAAGCCAATCAAGCAGCATGCTCGAAAGTATCACCTTGATCTTGAAGCAAAAATTAAGGCGGAGGTAGAAAAGTTACAGATGGCCAAGTTCATTGAGCCTATACAATACCCAACTTGGCTAGAAAATATTGTGCCTGTGAAGAAGAAGAACGGTCAGATCAGGGTCTGCGTAGACTTTCGCGACCTGAATAAGGCCTGCTCGAAAGATGAGTTTTCATTGCCCCATGTTGACACACTTGTCAATTCTACTGCAGGCCATCAGATGCTCTCCTTCATGGATGGGTTCAGTGGTTATAACCAGATCAAAATGGCACTAGAAGATGCAGAAAAGATCACTTTCAGAGCGCCATTGGGAAATTTTTTCTATATGGTAATACCCTTAGGTTTGAAAAATGTAGGGGCAACCTACCAACGGTCTATGACTGCAGTGTTCCATGACATGTTGCATCATGAAGTGGAAGTATATGTGGATGATCTGGTGGTCAAGTCTATTGAGGCAAACCGACACCTCTCCGACTTGGAAAAAGTTTTTCAGTGTTGTCGCAAATTCTGCCTAAAGATAAACCCTCTCAAGTGTGCCTTCGGAGTTACCGCCAGCAAGTTCGTTGGCTTTCTTGTACACCAATGGGGGATCGAAGTAGTTGGGGATAAGATCAAGTCGATCATGGAGATGTCACCACTACACTCTGAAAGGCCTTGAAGAAATTCCTAGGCAAAGTGTCATATCTCAAGAGGTTCATTCCAGCCCTTGCTGGGATAACATTTTCCTTTGGGACACTGTTGAAAGAGAATCACAAGTTTGAATGGTTGCAAGAACACCAATAGGCATTTGATATGGTGAAAAAAACACTTATCTCTCCACTTATAATGATTGCCTCATAACCTGAAAAGCCTCTGTTACTGTACCTGACCTTTACACCTCGGTCTATCGGAGGTCTACTTGTCCAAGACATAGATGGCATTGAGAAGCCAGTGTATTACATCAATCGCAAAGTCAATGGTGTCGAGTCGCGATATACCCCAATTGAGAGGCATTGTTTAGCCTTAATCTTCATTGTGCAGAAGTTGCGCCACTATTTTTTGGCACACCCGATCCAGGTTGTGACTGGGAGTGATTCAGTCTGCTACTTGCTGAGCAAGCCCGCTCTGACTGGATGAATGGCAAGATGGCTTTTGGCTCTAGCAAAATATGACATCACTTGTGCTACTCCCAAGGCTATTAAGAGCTAAGCACTTACAGACTTACTGGCCCAATTCCCATCTAGTGAACATGAACCTACAGAGGTACCTCTACCAGGTGAGGTCCATGTCTCAGCAGCTGCAGTTGAGACTTATTGGGACTTTAAATTTGATGGAGCTTCTAGAGCTGGGAATGGTGGAGCTGGCATAACACTAACCAGTCAAGAAGGAGAGAAGTTTCATCTATCATATAAGCTTGACTTTGAATGTTCAAACAACGAGGCTGAATATGAGACGTTGATACTGGGTCTAATTGTTGCTAAACAAAAGGTCTCCCCAAGTTGAAAATTTGGGGCGACTCTAAGTTAGTTGTCAAGCAAACAATGGGTGATTTTGCCTTAAAGGAGCCTCTGTTGGCCCCATATCGCACCGTAGTTCAAAGGTTGCTCACTCAGTTTGATGATGTCCAAATCCAACATACCCCTAGAACACACAATCGTTTCCTCAATGCCTTGGCCACATTGGGGGCAAAGGTGGATATACTAGATGATAGTATAGCCATCGTCATCGAGAAAAGAACAACACTAACAGTGTTAGCCGATGAACATACAGAGCAAGATGTTGAGGGGTGGAAAGCAGATATAATCCAACAGTTGAAAATAGGCCTAGAAACAATCAGACCAGCAGAACTTGCATCAGTTTTGCTCTTCAGAGGAGAGTTATATTTTCGCGGTTCCAACAACCTACTAGCAAGGTGCGTCGGCAGACAAGAAGCAACTTACAAACTTAAGCAGATCCATGCTAAGTCTTGTAGAGATACAGATATCAATCTATACCGACGGATACAGAGACAAGGGTATTACTGGCCAGAGATGGAAAAAGAAAGCACTAAGTTACAGAGGCAATGTGCAAAATGTTAGTCCCATCCTAAAGAGGAAAAAGCCCATTTCTTAAGTAATGAGGAATGGAGGCAACCGTTTATTGACTATCTTGGAAGTGGCACACTACTTGAGAACAAAGCCAATGTAATTAGAGTTAAGAGGCGGGCCCTCCGCTTCTTTCTTGACCAAGACAAGCTGTACTGTAGAAGCTTTATAGGGGAACCTTTGTCCTATTTATCAAAGGATAAGGCAAACGAAGTGCTGAGGGAAACCCGTAAGGTAAAACATCAAGGGGTGCAGCGATTATATGGGCACCTTATTCACCTCGGCTACTACTGGCCGACAATGGAAGAAGATGCTAAAAACTTTGCAAGGAAATGCCAATCCGGCCAGAAGTTTGGGAACTTAATACATGCGTCGGTGGTTAAACAGCACAACATCAAGACCCCTTACCCGTTTCATACTTGGGCATTTGACCTCGTAGGCCTTATAGTGCAACAATCCAAAGGCCATAGATGGATACTTGCAGCGACTGAAGTTAGTACCAAGTGGGTAGAGGCTATACTGATGAGGAAGGTAGATGGGGCAGGAGTGGCCAACATTATCAAGGAAAACATAATCTGTAGGTTTGGCATACCCAAAGTAATGTTATCTGACAATGTAACTCCCTTTGTAAATCGCCATGTAGGAAGACTGCTGGACACTTACCAAATCAAGCACCACAAGTCTACCTTGTACTACCCGCAAGGGAACGGACAAGTTGAGGCAACCAACAAAACTCTCATTCGAATATTGAGTAAAATGATGGATGAAGCAGGGGGCACATGGTCTGAATAACTCCATGTAGCACTCTGGGCGTATAGAATGTCAAAGAGAAGGCCAACTCAGGCAACCCCATTTTCCCTAGTATGTGGGTTCGAAGTTGTGTTACCAGTTGAGTTGGCAGTACCCTCAGTAAGAATGGCTATGTCAGCACACTTAGTTCCAGACAACAGAAGGAACGACATAGAGGCAGCAGAAGAAAGAAAGGATCGGGCCTCGTAGGCAATGGAAAAGTATCATCAGTCCATAGCTCACGTTTACAATCAGTCTGTTAAACACAGAGAGTTCAAGGAGGGGGACTTGGTATGGAAGACAGTGGACGCAATCATGCGGGGGCAACCAATCCCCAAGTTCTCACCCAGATGGGAAGGCCCTACAAAGTTGTTGAGGCAAGTAGCAGCGGGTATTACAAGGTAACAAGAGTAGATGATGGGTTCAGAACTAGCCCTATCAACGCCAAGTATGTCAAAGAGTATTTTCCTTAATTTCTTTTGTTCAAAAAAAAGAAGAAGAAGAGAGTTGTAAGTTTCTTTGTTAATACTTCCAAAGCAAAGTGTAAAGAAAGTATCATATACTTAGTAAACCTGTTACTCTTGTAAACACCCAGTGAAAAGAAAGTTTTCCATACTTAGGGAAATTTTAGCCTTGTAAAAACTTAGTCATGGCGAAGTTCCATTCATAACAAGAGTTTTGTTTAGCCTCAGAAGATATGTAAAGGCAATGAAAAGAAGGCAATGAAGTAAGACTCAATATTTTTGCTTCTCATAAACATCAAAGTTTCCTACAGCATGATTACAATGTTCAAAGAAAGTAGAAAAAAAAGAAGAAGAAGGAAAAAAATAGCCAAAGTACAAAGAAAAAGAGCCATAACAAAGTCATAATAAATCAAATCAAACCCTTCACGAGGGAGTCCATCAGGGTCACATCCCTAGGCAGCTGAGTAACCAACACAGAGTCTTTCTCTTTGAACCGAGCTAGGTTCTGCCGATGCTGCTCCAAGGCACCTTCACACTCCTTGATAGTCTCCTCTAAAGATGCAATCATCGCGACATTATCTGCATGTTCAAGGAAACCATCGACTGCCTAAAGCCTATCTCTCATCCACAATAGGTCCAAACCGGTCCTCTCAAATTTTCTCAAGTTGGCCTCAGCACCTTCCATAAACTTGCTGGGTATTGTCAAAATCTTCTTAGTAGCAAGGTTGCAAATGAAGCTGGCAAATGACTTCAGCAGCGCTGTTTGCACCATAGATCCAGGAACGTTAAAAGCAGTAAAGGTACTGGGGTGCAGCGCCTGGATGCGGGCAAGAGTGGAAGCAGCTTCGGAGGAGACCCAATAACTTAGAAAAGAAACTTTCCCTAAAGATTGCAAGGACTCTCTCACACCGCCGCCAACTTTAATCGCTGGAGGGAGACTGGCAGAGCGACCAAGGGTTTGAGGGCGACGCACTTCCCCCGAAGATGATTGCCCAGCAGCATTGGAATGGGTAGATGCTAGGTGGCAACCTGGCGAACTGGCCTCACGAGAAAGGTTAAAGTTGCCTGCACCATCATATTGCTCCAAAAAGAGGTCGTCCATGTGATAGTCCTCAACATTCAAATCTGGCACAACAGTGGTGTCCATGCCCACATAAAAGTCTCGTGATCCTCCAAGATTAGCTGGTACCTCAGGGAAGTGAGTGAGGTACATATTAGCGAGCTGCTAAGAAGTTGCTGAGGCAACTGGGCCAGAAGCACCAGCAACAACAGTAGTACCATGGGCGGCCAGATCGACAGCTGCCTCCGTAAGTTGAGCCAAACTTAGGGGGTCCATAGTAGGAACAACCGCTACATTTGTACCTCCCTTAACAACTTGAACATTGGGGAGTGGGGTTTGTGGAACCAGTGGAGACTCAGTGGACTGAAAAGAACCCCTAGATACAGCTTCCAAGGGGGGTGGTGCAACTTCTAGTGGCTCTCTTACGTCACAATCCTCTTGGGGTCATTGGAACAAAATCATCTTTGCCGACAGAGGAACAGTCAGAGTGAACAGAATTAGCAAGGTTTGGAGGTTCTGCACCATCAGCAACTATACCACCGGCTGTAACTTCTATAGCAAGGGGGACTTGTTCATTTTTTGCAACCTTAACAATTGGCTTGGCCTCAGCAACTGGCTCAGCCTCAGTAGTTGGTTCGGTCTCAGCACTTGGTTCTTCTTTAACAGTTGGAAGCACCAACCTGTGGGTTCTGAATCGTGTGATCCTTGAAGCAATAAGAAGGTCGTCGTCATCGTCTGAATCTGAGGAAATTCCGATGGCAGTAGAAGAACCCCCGAGGCCCGAGGGTGGTATGGCTGATGGGCCCTGAAAAGGAAAAAGATCATGTGAATACTAAAATAAATGCAAAAAGCCCAAGGAAGTAATGCAAAGATATTTTCCAAGTATGGGTACCTTTCGGAGTCTCTTCCTACTTGGTGAGGCACGTGCCTCAGTAACTGATGCCGCTGAATCCTGAGCTGTCCTCAGTTTAGAACGGGTCGTGCGCACTGTTACACCAATTGGAAGAAGAGCAACTTGCAGGGGTTGGAAGAACATTGCCCCAGATGGATAAGGCTCCTCTACTACAGGTAGGGACAGAAGCTTGAAATGACAAAATATACTAGTTTGTTTCCCTCGACCAGAAGAGAGACGAAGGGATAAGTCAGGCTGCGGAATGAGTTCTATTGCAGGGACAACGGGTGCACTGTTGCAAAAGTTAAAAAAGGAGTTGAGGTTACAGAGCCAGAACAGCCTGTAACTGAGAGTAAAGGCACATTCTCGTCCAAGTGAAGGCAACTCCATGAGGCCTAAACCCTCCACGAGTAAGGCGGTGTAGTCACGTGCAAACCTTTAGAACCTCTGATGAAAATCTGTTTGAGGCGGAAGGGCGTGGGGGATGTCCTGGTCCATGCCGAATTGCCTAAGGATCCTATCCAATCGGTAAACAACACTGGACATGTCCTTCTCATTCCATACGGGTAGAAACTCAGGGCGTATCATGGCAGCTAGTAGAAGGGAGTTGGCCTGGACGCTGTTAAGGGAGAAATCAACATGACGAGCCTCTGAGAAATAAAATGGGACAATAGAAATGTTTGGAAGAAGTTGGGTAAAAGGGTGGAACACACACTCCTCCATGCAATTAACGTAATCTACGAAGGGTCTATTGGTGCCAAGACCAGACCGCCGAGAGATGCGAGGGAGGGATTGGCGCACTTTTCTTGTGACAGGTCGACCCTCTGCATCTAGAACATGACGACCCTCTACATCAAGGACTTCATCGGTGAAGAAGGGTTTATGCTCTTTAGGGACAGGGCCCATAGTAAGGAATCGCTTGTAGAAGAAGGCAGTCAGGAACTGAGTGTGTACAAAGCTCCATGCATCATAGCGGCCCATGGATCTCTCCATGTCCGAGTGAATGAGGTCAAGGCAGAAGTATAAGTTCTCCAAGAAGAGGGGGCCAGAGGGATCTGACTGCTGCTGCAAAGTTTAACAGCCAGATGGAACACTAGAGGATTGATACTCTCAGCATGGTTGCTGGGGAGAACAAGAAAAAAGATGAAATAACTGACAAAGGCGGCCAAGTACAAGTTGCCACGGTAGCCCGGCCCAACTATGGAGTTGCGGCCCTCCTTTGTAATGTTGCCCACAACCGGTTGCAGGTCCTTGAAGAAATGTTTCAAACAGGAAAAGTAGGTGGTCTTGTCCCTTTTGGGCCTCTCCTGGAGCAATTCACTAGTCTTAAGATCGTACCAAGAGCCATACTTCTATGCCTCTCGAAAGGCACTTTAGAGGATAGTGACGGCATTTTTTTTTGCAAAAGTCAGGGGCGTTGGATCGAAGGGGTGGTCTCCATGGGTACTTAGGCGCAGAAAAACGGCAACGTCTTCGAGGGTTGGGGTTATCTCCCTCCATGCTAGGGCAAAGGTCTGAGTGTTGGGGCTCCAGCGGGAGATGTCCATATCAGTGTTGGTCTGTACCTTGTGCACCGATAACTCCCTCGAAATCAAAACGGCATTGAAGAGATGAACATCCCTTAAGCGCTGTTCAAAGCTGTCATTTGCAATGATGTCATCAACCCAGAGGGACCAATCTGTTGGAGGGCCCAAGTGAGTACGGTCGTAGATGTATGAATGGGGAAAGTCATCACGCTCCAAGCGAAACCGCAGCACAGAGACTGGGTTCACCATGTCACCATCGTCTAAAGTAGCCTCGCCAAAAGGGAGCAGATGCTCCTCCAGAGAAAGGGCATCAGGAACGAAGGAGTCAACTACCTTCTAGAAATGGTTAGCCAGCCCTCTGAAGTATGGGGCCTTCTTCCACTCAGTAGGGGTGGGGCAGCCTTGTCGGGTAGAAACCTTGTGTTAGCTATGAGAAAGAATAAAAAAATAAATAAAAGGGACTTTGGAAGGTGGGGGCAAGGAAGAAAAGAAGACAAGGAGATAAAAAGTGTGTTGTGGCAGAAGTGAGGGACCAGTGGACACAAGGGACACTATTTATAGAGAGAGTATCAAAAGGGCACCGACACACTTCCTTAGACCATCAGTCAAAAGACACCTTTTCAGAGCCATTATGACTATACAGAAAATCGACACAACTCTTGACCCAATTGACGCAACCCCTGGATTACTTGCTGACGTCATGCACGCGCGGGAAACAAGGGACTTGTCCCCTATGCGCTCAGGGGGCAAAATTTAGAGGGTCAGAAATTAAGCTCTAAATTAAGTATGGGCCTAAGTGCTGAGGTCGCCCCTTTGTGAAAAAGGAGCATGGGCTAAAGCCCAGGGCAAGTGGGCCAACAGAAGGTCGAAGCAGGTCTGACCCACCAAGGGTCCAAATGGACTCCACGAAGGACAATGCCCAAGTCAAGTTGCAAAGGCAACACATGCAACGGTCAAGTTACAGAGGCAACACATGCAACGGTCAAGTTGCAGAGGCAACACATGCTGCGATCAAGTTGCAGAGGGAACACCTGCGGCGGTCAAGTTGCTGAGGCACTTTT